TTTTTCTAGTTCAGAGTGAAAATATTATCTTACTTCCCGATGAGAAATTAGTAATATTCTGGAAGAGATATTAACGTTTGATGGGAATTCACTGACGTTCAAAATTTATAACTGTTCCTGGTCAATGTAGTATATTTTCCGGTTGATAAGGGTTAGCAAAATCACAGTTTATAGCTCACACGGTTATAACAGTTTCATAGTAGACCTGTCTCTTCTCTGTTCTTTTTTTTGCGCAATGCCGTGCTGTTTTTATAGGTGAGACACACTTTCTAGAACCTTTTAATAATACTGGATACGAAAATGTATAATATTGTTGATTCTTGTTCACGAATGTTCTACAATCTTGGATAATTGGCGGGAGTTTCGCCATACGTAACTAAGACGGTAAGCTAAACACGCCCTCAAATATAAACTTATTCGAAACAAACGTTGACATTAAAATAAATATATATAACAAATTCGTTATATGGAACACATATCTGATACTACAAGTCATACACACATTTCTAAATACAAATTCAATCAAAACAATGTTCATATTAAAAATAAATACATAACAATCAATTTGTTACAAGGAGGGGAAAAAAAAGAAGCATCCATGGATAAGGCTTAACTCTTTCATGCCTGTTAGTTAAACTTTGAATTTTAATTTGTAACATTAGTGTAACTTAAACATTTTATTTACAAACACAGATACTTGAAAACTTAAAACTAATGAATGTTTTTTTTATTAAACCCTGTTTAGCAATGTAAACAACTTTTAAAAATAAAAATTTAGACAAGTTGGTTCATCCTCTTCCATTAGCTACTTAGACTAATTGCAAGTTTATTAATAATATTCTACTGTGTTCATGTGACCTTATTTATTCTAACTAAAAAAAAAAGTAATGTTAAGACTAACTCTTATTCAGCATTTAGACTGACATTATAATCTTACATAATAAAGAAAAATAATTTCTTTTTAATATTTCATTCCAGTGAAACTTGTATAGAAAACCTGTAGGGCAGTAGTTTATTTTAATAAACATTATTTTATGATTATTACTTATTATGTTTACTTTATTTCAAAATATCATCCAAAAGTAGCCTGCTGGACCAATATTTTGGAATAAAGTAAACAAAATATGTAATATCATAAAATAATAATGAAAAATATATTTTATATTAATCTTACCTCTATAATTATGTGTATAGTTACTTAATTTTCATCTAACACTGCTTAAACCTGAGTGTTTTGAGATCTAAAATGCCAATAATACCAACTAGCATACACAAAGCGTGCTTTCCGAGGAGTATACATAGTCTACCAAAAAGCAGAGATCCTCCAGAATATAAATCAACTGTTTCCATACATCATATGCACATAACACCAATGTATAGATAAAGGTATAGCTCCATAATGGCTACAAAATACAAACAGCCATGCTGAAAATGAGAGGATCCTGGGAATAAACCTTGTATACATAAAACTGTATAGCTGGACAATGGGAGGACAGTCAAACTCAGATAGAAATTGCCAAATTACTTGCTGTTCAAAGTGAAAAAAGGTGATAGTAAAGTCAATCACATTGGAAGACAAAAGTTTCTACATATCTTTGGTGCTAAAAACCAACAGAGTGGAATTTTTGTACTGTGAAGTGTACAAAATGACCCAAGTCAAATAGCTGCTACTGTTGCTGTGTGTATGTTAGAAACGTTTCCATTAGCAGTTTTGCACGTTTTTAACATTACATAAGAAAACTGTGTGTACAGATTGGTATAGTTATTTAGTGTGATAGAATATATGACTACAAAAAGTGTACGTTTAGAGATCTAGAAAAGATACAACCAAATCATACTTCTTCCTTCTGGGGTTTTCCAGTTTCAAACAATTAATATATTTTTTACATTTTTGTATCTGGAAACACATTTAGACATGTACAGTCTATCAAGTATGTATTTAATGGTCTTTCTGATAATTAAATAGTATCCAAACTAGAGATAAAGGTAATAACTAAATGACACAAAACTAGTTTTATTTAGTGAAAGAAACCAACTGAGTAAAATACTTAAAGTCAACTAAGAAGCTTAGCCTAACATTTAAAACCTTATACCCGATAGTCTTGAATCAACAAAATTGTTAACTACACCATTCACAAAATGTTGAGTTTTTCACTGGGAAATAACTGTAGTTGACTCGACTCAACTATCCAAGACACTAAAGCTTAAGTTTTTATTTTATAGGATAAACAAGCTCTGGCTGACCAGAAGAAGGCCAAGTTCAATCAGGCAGAAGGTGATCATTTAACTCTTTTAGCAGTATACAACTCGTGGAAAAATAACAAATTTTCCAATGCGTGGTGTTATGAAAACTTCGTACAGATCAGAACTTTGAAACGTGCACAAGATGTAAGAAAACAGCTGCTGGGAATTATGGATAGGTATGTTAATGTGTGGTTAACATGATTAGCTGAGTTACAGCAACATTCTTAAATATCTTTTGGCTTATGTTATATTTTTGTTTTTAATGTCTCTCGGGACATCAAGAGATTTGTTCCAGTTGCAGTAATAATCTTTTAACAATTTTTTTTCTTGAATGGTCATTCCATTTATTTCCCACTTCCATTTTATATCTGTACTTAATTACATGTAGCGATATTGGATTATTGTTTTAAATCATTAAACCTCTCACACCTGGCTAGGTCTTTAGTGGAACTTTGAGCAGGGAAAGGAGTAAATTCACTTCTATAATAATCTTGAAATTCAGTAAGTTTGGATAAGGAATATAAATCTCTTCCAGAGAGTACACTTATAAAGTTCAGCTCTGTTAAATGATTTAAATGTTTATGCTTTTTTCTAATATTAAAATACTCTTATTCACTCCAGACACAAGCTGGATGTGCTTTCCTGTGGTAAAAACACAGCTCGAGTTCAGAAGGCTATTTGCAGTGGATTTTTTCGAAGTACTGCAAAGAAGGATCCTCAAGAAGGCTATAGGACCCTGGTGGATGGTCAAGTGGTTTACATCCATCCATCTAGTGCCCTCTTCAACCGACAGCCTGAATGGTAAGTTATAGTAATAGGTGGATTACATTCCTGTGAATCCCTTCTTCAAGGGAGGAGGGATCAATAATAATACTGTAAACTTTGGTATTAATTTTTATTTCATTATGCAGCCTATTTTACCTTGTGGGCAATTCCTGTGGTACTTTTGAAATATTTTGATTTATAAAGAAAGGATTCCTCCACCCCACTCATTTATAAAAATACTATTGTCATGTCCTGTTCCATTTGTGTGACTTCTTTGATCAAGAGTATAAAAAAGAACACTTTTTATTCAATTTATCTATCCAAGCACAGTTTTTGATTAAGAATGTTTATGTTCTTTAAATAAATGTTCATTTTTTGTTACTTATAATGTTCCCCATAAATTTTGTGGTTTATAGTTGTACGTCTGACGTATATAGAAATGGTAATATCAGTTTTATTACTTTCCACATGTATTTGTGATAGCTTGTATGTGGTTTATAGTTGTACATCTGATGTATATAGAAATGGTAATATCAGTTTTATTACTTTACACATGTATTTGTGATAGCTTATATGAAATAATTCAAACTTTGATAGAGTAGGAGTGAGCTTGTGTAGACAAATACTATTACCACTGTGTTTTTTCTCTGTAAGTAAATGTTTGATATTTTTGAATTTTGACGAGTCACAGCAATAGCTGAATTATATCTTTTTATGTTATAGTCTAGTAGTAATTGATTTTATTATTATTTCAATCAGGATTTATGTACTACTAAATACTTTGTTTTGTGATTAATTATTGTCATACGTTTGTTTTTCAGGGTGGTATACCATGAACTTGTCCAGACAACCAAAGAATACATGAGAGAAGTGACCACAATTGACCCTAAGTGGCTAGTGGAGTTTGCTCCAGCATTTTTCAAGTTTGCCGATCCAACTAAACTGAGCAAGCACAAGAAGCAGCTTCGATTAGAACCACTCTACAACAAGTACGAAGAACCCAATGCTTGGAGAATTTCAAGAGTGAGGAGGAGAAGAAACTAATTTGTCTACTGTAAAAGTATTGTATTCTTGAGTACCTGTCAAACTGCAGTGGAGTAATTATTAACAAAACCTATAAAGCTTGTGAGTTATGAAAACTTCACACTTAAACAAAATAAAACTTCAATCGTATTATAGATTATAGTGATCAGATTTGAAATGAAAACTTTGAATTGGTAAGTAATACTAACTTGCTGGGGTGCACAGATAAATGTCTTTATTGCCTAACAGTAAAGTATGGTATGTAAAACATTCAAGATTGTATATAAAGATGTATATAGTTATCTTGTAAATAAATATTTTTACTCACCAACTATAATACTGATTGTAATTTAATAAAAGGAACACAAAATCTGAAAATTATTTAAATGGTAAATACTTTTATCATACTAAACATGCATTGAAATATTTTTCTTTTCAAAGCAGGACTTTTAATTTCCAGTGTTTGAAATAGGCTAAAAGCTAAAATGCACTTGTGTATTATATATAACCTAGAAAATATGCAAGAAACCTTAACTATATGTTATTTTAGTTTCTTCTAGAGCAGTTAAGTTTCATTATAATTCTCAGACCAGTATAGCATTAAATTATGGACATGTTTTGTGTTAACCCTACAAATTACACATGGAGCCCCCAGGGGGTCCATATAGATCCCATAAAACACATTTTACACACTATGCATGCCCTTGCTGACAGGGTCACTTATACATAATACAAAAACTAATTTCACTAAGTGAAACCATTCGTTTTAATGTATTTTGCATAAAAATGAATAGTTCCACCCAATTTATTTGGTCAGTTCTTTATATTGAGTGTTGGAACAATAAAATTTCTCAGTACAATGTGATATAAAGTTGTACTACTTCAAAATCAGTATTTTTATAAAATATACATGTTGGGATTGTATAGTTCAAGATATGCATACACACAGAGTTAAGAATGAGTACACTGTGTTCTTGTATTGAAAGCAATATAGTATGTTATGATCTACATCATTCCAAGTGATAATACTGTAAATTATTAAACTTACTTAATGATAAAATACCTAATACACTGTGGAAATTCACATTGTCACCTTTTCATTATGATGAGCTACACAAGCCATCATTATTGTTTTGGGCACTGTTTTTGATAAGATGTAGTGATTTTCTAGATAGTTCTTATAGATGTTGTAATTATCCACTTGTAGATTACTTTCAAATATACCCAAAGGATTATATATACATACACACAATTGTTACCCATTTTTGGTTAACCACTGACTCAAAAATATTAAACTCCAAGTAACTAAGCCACAAAATGTTAATGTTGCTCCCAACAATATTCCTCTTAACTTCCAGTGTCCATAGGACTGGTTGAGCTGACTGACCACTTGATGTACTTGTTTGTGTGTCTGATTTATATCTCCAGAGTTGTCAATCACAAAATCTGCCATCTGGCACTTCTCTTGAAGAGAGAGTTGTGCTGAAATACGGTTTTCAGCTTCATTTCGGGTAAAGTTGTTTCGCATCATCAGCCTCTCAAGTTGCTGATTTTCATCACTAAAAATAATTAAACAACTATCCTTGACAAATAATTTGATACAAAAACTAATATTCTCTGCTGGCACTATTTATTTGTGAGTGTGTACAAAAACCTACCAAAAACACAGGAAAGAATATAACTTGATAGACTTCTGTTATAGTTGATAATAATAGTGTAAATAAGATTCTTCAAAGGTTTAAGGTACAGCTACCAACAGTTCATTTATAAAATTAGCTAACTGAAACTTGATATTAATACTTATATTCTTAATTATTGTTCTAAAATTGATATAAAGTAGTTTTTGCCAGCTTCAGAAAAAGAGCACACACTTAAACAAGCCAAGCAAAATTAAGCAGAAACTAAATCAAAGTAGTATTGATGATAAAACTTAGTTGAATGGACAGCAACTGCCTGTTACACAAACACAAATGTAAAGGACAAACAACTTCTTCCTTGTAGAGGTGTGTATGTATAGACACACACACACAGGTCAATAAAAAATTGCAGTTCTATTGTATATTTTTTTTTGTATCTGCACAGACAACAGTTCAACACAAATGTTTCCACTTACCAAGTTACAACAATAACTTTGCTCACATATTTCACCATCTTCCCACTTTCAAACAAAAGGGGTAAATCCAAGATAACATATTGATGTCCTAATTCAACATAAAAAAAGGCAGTTTTTGAAAAAACTTTACTTCCAGAAACATTTCAAAATCACAGAAAATAAGTTGCTCAAATTACATGCAAAAGTATCATGATTTTATACAATGCTTGATTTTTCCTCAAATTGCCTTTGTTCAGATGATTAAAAAATTAAAGTACATTTAGAAATACATTCTAAAAAGACATATGAATTAAGTATAGTGAAGTAGAATACAAGTGATTTGCATTGAGAATTTACTATTAAAGTTACAGGTCTCTCTGATTCTAGTAGCTTATTAAGCTGAAATTTCCAAGAATCTTCAACTAACATGTTGTTTTTCCGTTAAGGTTTTCACATACCATTAAATTTTCTATCATTAAGTAGCTACATCACAGAAAGACATGTCTAAAATGTACTCTCAAGTCGATGTTTTCTGTTTCTCGGGTATTAGAAGTTGAAAATGTCAAGACTCTGCCATAATGTTTATGATGAAACAAATTTTCTACATTTTATCTCAGAAAGATTTTTCTTTAATATCCATGTTGGTTTTAGACTTGCAAAACAAAAAATGTAACCATACTGAAAATAAAGAAATTCAATGTTTTAATCTCACACACAAAAAAAAAGTCTTAAAAATTCTAGTTAGATTATGAACTATAACAATATCGTAATGTATTCTGTCATTGGGCCAATTGAGATCCAGGCCAATGTGAGAGTAATAAATTTTTATTTCTTCCTTAACATTTGCTTCAGGCTACTTTCACTTGGTTTTAGGCCTAAAAATTCTGAGACCAATGGTAAGGAAGCCTAATTCACAATTAAACCAGAATTTCCTCAATTATAATTCAGTTAACTGAATTAGAGGAACTTCTTGATTATTACATCATAACCACAATAGTAGCTCCCTCTAGCAAATTATAACATTGAAAATATGCTTACAACAACAATAATAATAATACACAACTGCAATGCAAGAAACTAATGCTTTACATTACTTGATAGAAAATTATTTGCCAATTATTATCTACATTTCAATAAGGTGAGTCGTGTCAAATTAATTTACTAAAAGTTGTATGTCATGGTATGATTGTTGCAATTTATTTTCATTTATCTATAAAAAAAACACACACACAGAAGGGTGTCTGTGAAAATAGCTAGAATCTGAAGCTAGTATTTGGGTCTGTTGTACATTTTGTTAAAAGCCAAATAATTATATATAGTAATTACAAATGCTTTTATACTGTTTTAACAATATATGCTTCAAAAAATAAAATCAACTTATATATATATAAGACAATTCCTAATACGAATGAATAATTTAGGTAATTAAAGTGAAAGTGTCCATGTTGTCTCTGAATTGTACAGTTATTTGGGTATGTGATGTGCATTATATTTATCTAGTCACAGAAACTATAGTATTTAGAAATGCATGAAATTTGTAAAAAAAAAAAGGTCCTTACTAAAAAATTTTGAGAAGCAAATCTAACAAAGGAGGCTTAACTGTAAAATACAAACAAATTCTAACTTGTATAAAAAACATGTAATTTATAAAAATTAAAAAGGAGACAAAGGTAATTCAATTAAATCTTCCAATCAAACAGTAACTAGAGCTCGACAATTAACTGGATTACCTACGAGCACCGATTACATACGTGTTATGTAAAATAATTAATTAATCAAAATTATGATTAAATTGATTAATGTAAAAATAATCAACTGATTGAAATCAGTGTTTGCAATAGTTCCAACTATCCAAGTAATCAAAATATTTCTATTAAGATTTATTATTATTTTCAATTAATTCAAGGCTGTTTGGCTTAATTGATTAGTGTTGTGACTCAAAAATAATCAGCTAATCAAAATTAGTGATCATGATTGTTACTATTTTTGATCACAAAATACTAACTGAAAGTAAATAAATCAATCCTTTTTCAACTATTTTGAATGTCTTCTTTTTTTTAATATAATTCATAAATGTTACTAAACCTTATAAACTTTTTTGAAATTTCTCAATCATTTATTTTCATTAAGACACCATTTTAGAGTCTGAAACCATTTTATATTTGTTTCTGGTCTGTGCTTGAATAAAGCTTGTAAGAAGTAACATTGGATTTTCATACTACACCTTTGCTGTTACACATATATATATATATATATATAAATCATATTTTTAAGACTGCTTTCCTGATATGTGGAAATAGTTGTTCCTACAAGATAAATTACACACAAATTATAATTAAGAAAATACTGAATGATGTCCTGGTTACATGAAAAATTGTTAAAATGCTTCAAAGTACTTCATAAAGACACTACTTAAAACAAGTATGCACATTTCCAGAAGAAATACGTTTAACATTCACTTTACTAGAGATTAATTAATATAGAGAAAAACAAGTGTTAATAGTGTTCCCTCTAAGCTGCACAGCTGCACAACAGCCAATCAAGTGCCGTGCACATCCTCAGTTGTGGTGAGGAGTCTCAATACATTGACGGCCTTAATGATCCTGGCAGTCAATAAGCCTAAAGCCCAAATAACCAACTGGTAGCATTGCAAAATGGTCTAATGATCCAATGAGGCTGATGGTCTATAAATACCCCCCCCCCAAAAACAACAACAACAAAAAACTGGTAGTGCACATCTGCACATTGCCTTCATACTGGTGCACATGAAATAATTCATTCTGCACATGGATTGAAAAAATTGGAACATTGGGTATTAACCCAAAAACATACTAGTATACAGAGTATCGATGGGGTTATACCCTTCCACTCATCAAAACAACAATAAAAGCATAAAAGTCAAACTAAATGTATCTCATCACATGCATGTAAAAATCTAACAGACAACACACCATATCAACAGGCAGAATATTCCATGAATTTGTAACCAACAAAATAATTATTATGAAGAACAAACAGAATCAAGGTTTCTAGATCTTAAAATTATTACTTTCTAGTATTTAAATTTACATTTCTAACATTTTTCATTCTACCACTCAAACCTTCTCTCCTCATAAGTAGTTTATCTAAGTTCTAACAAATTGAAACAAGTCTGAATCAAATTACTTCTAACTCTCCTATGCTCCACACGAAGCAAGTTCATATTATTACCTACATCACCAAAGGTGGACAGAGGTTATGTTTTCACTGCTGTGTATGTGTGTTTGTCAGCAATTAGGACAAAAGTTGATATACATTTGGACTATGACCCAACTTAAAAATGATTAGTTTTTGGAGGATCAAAGGTCAGACAAGTCCAAATAATCCCTATATGTTAACATGGGGACTGATTTTTCACACTTATTTTTGCTCAATAACTTAGTCAAAAATGATTGCATTTTGATGAAACTTGGTGAACATATGTATAATATTCCTCATTGTCTTGCTAAAAATGGTTCATGTCTGTTGATAACAACAGACCTACAGACACATTTTCATATTTTTTGAGAGCCGAATATGATCAATGCTGTATGGCAGAGGTATGTGCTCTACTGAATGCCCCTCTAGGTATTGTTTTAATGGCTTATTTTTGCACTCTTTTTGGAAAACTGATGTCTTTCCTGTAATAAGGAAATCAAAACTGTTCACAAAGTTTTACATTTTTCCAGTGTCTTTCTCTTAAATTCAATAAAGGAACCACACCACTACAAGTTCTTTTCCCCCGTAGTTGAACCTTTACCTGAAATCTTCAAGCTTTTTGAAATAGTTACATCAGAATCTTTCACTTTACTTACAATTCTAGTAATCCTTTTATACAAGTCCTTTTCACATTATCATAATCCAAGTGTATTACTTTGCATTTTTCAACATTGAAACTTATTTCCCACTAAGACTGTCGAATTTCTTCTCAATAAGTGATTCAACACAACAGTATCATCCCTTACTATAATCTTGGTACCATTTGTGAATTTAGAAATATTATTTTTGCACACAGAATAAACAATGAAGGTGCCAAGAAAAGACCCATAAGGTACCCCAAACTTCCACTTTCTCAATCAGAAGAAATACTCATTCATCATCTAACATCCATTGTTTCCGATAACCAAGTGATATTATACCCACTTGGTACGTTTTGTATCAATTCAAGAGAATGTTATGTGCACAGCCACATGTTTTGAGACATCTGAGATGGATAAAAGAATTAATTATACATATCATTACCTATATGTAGAGTTGCTTCTTCTCAAAAGTAGATGAGAGTATAAAAACAACTGCAGCTATACAAACATCTTTCACCTTACAATTCTAGCAATCCTTTCATAGAAGTACTTTTAATATTTCCAATTACTGGATAGTTAGAATATTCAAAATTGGTAATAATTGGAAATATTAGTTGTTTATTTTTATTACATTAATCAATTTAATTGTAGTTTTGATTAACTGATAGTTTTGTGTGACACTACTTAATGAAACTGATGCTAATAGGTAATTGACCAATTTAATTAAGTTAATTTCCCAGCTCTAACTCAGCTTCCTCTAATATATGTTTTGAAAAATTGGAACACATTTAGAAATTTTAAACAAAAAGGGTTAAGTGACATCACAAACTTAGACATTTATCTTTTTCAGCTAACTAATCACTTTTTTTAAAAGAAAATATCTAGTATATACTAAGCATAGCAGACTTTTTTTTATAGTATACTAATTTTGATATATACATGAAAACACTGTAAATATATTTCTTCAATGAAATTGCTATACACGTAAACAAATGTATAGTCTTTCACCTTCACATTTTTCCACAATAAAGATAGTAAAATGAACTGTTGCAAATTGTAATTTTATGAACTGCAATAAAAATATTAATTCAGTTATTAAACAAACACTTGACTTATTCACTTGGTTTAAAAACAAACTATTTCTACATAATATTATATGACCTACTGACATTAGACAAAAATATTTCTCTAATCAAGATGATACATACCAGAAATCAGCATTTTCAAACACTTCCAGAAAATTTCCTTGTAAATCTGTGGATGTGTGATGCTGTTTAATTTACGGCGTTTATCCGGTTCTGAAAATACCACTTCTCCGAGTAACGGCCTATTTAATTCTCCATTGGGTAGCAGTATTTCCTCTCCAAATTCTGCTTTAATTTTCTTCCATGCTGGTTTCCCAGGTTCAACCACTAAACATATATTTTAATAAATATGTCTGTATACACACACATAAAATATGAATACAAACAAAAAGAACTTTTGTATACTTACAGATAGGTATTAAGTATCAATAATCTACTCTGGTATGTATGATATCACAGCTTCCTTCAACACAACTGAAGTGTGCATTAATAAATACTAACAAGTAAAATGGTAAACAAAAAACTTTACTGCTTAGTTTATTATAAATATTTTCAAAAGCAGAGTAGAATCATGTAGGATTAAGAATTAAATAAAATCAATAAACCTTCTAAAGATAAGTCTTTAATATTTTAAATTTAAAACTGAAAAGTTAACATGAAAAATAAGAATACCTTTCAATTCTTATAAAGCTGAATGGTGTGTGTATATATATAACCATGTTTACATACACTTGTTAAACTTTAGATTAAATATCAACTCAGTACACTGTAGTGACTATGATAAGCTTTACTGGATTGTTCTGATATGAACCTTTTAAAAGGCTTAAAGGTTATTGTAAAGCTTCAATGTTATTTGATTAAAATTTTATTGAACTTTATCACTAGTAAAACAGTCAATACAGAGAGTTTAACCCTTCTAACTTGGTAGGGAATTAATCTAAAATCACATGGTAATTAGAAGTTCTATATTTGAGCCCAAATCAAGTCTTAAATTCAATCAGAATAATCCAAAATGTAGTTCCCATTACCAGTAGAGACCAGAATAATCATTCAAGCTTTTAAAAACCCTGGTATTGAATGTTATTTTACACACACTTGATTCTAATCATGAGCAGAGGGACTGTGATGCCTGAACACTAAAAATACACCCCTGCAAGTACAATGATTTGGCAACTTATTGTAAAAACTTGTGCCAAAGAAAGACAATTAGGATCAAGTATTTTATTGCCCAATAAAAAAAAGAATCTTTAGATAATACTGTTTTTTAGCAATGTGACTTCTTTTTAGATATTGACTGAAATGCTGTTAACATGATTCAAAAATGTTTTAAAAATTCTCAGTTTCTCTATTCTTTTCCCCAACTTCTTGAATATACCCTACTTATGCATGGCCCTCAGAACATTTGCTGTTTCAATATCTATAAAATTTGGAAATAAACCCTGTCTCCAGGCAAATCACTTCCCAGTATGGTCTGTTACACTGAAAATATCCACAGCAATGTTAGTGGAAAATTTTCAGACTGAGACATTGATGACAATTTGTTTTAACGTTTTTGGAACATTATAGTTTATACCCGGTAAGAATTTTCAAATACACATGCAAGCTTTCCAAGATTAACAGAATCTTCTGAATATGTTTATATATACCAGAAGAGCTGCTAAAGTTCTAAAATAATAAGAATTACAATGCCCCCACCCAAAACAACAACATAATATTTCAGTATAAAACGAAAATGGTATTTGATTCTTAAGCAGTTTTAGAAAAAATAACGTGCACAATAACACAGTAGCATTATTTTAAGTTAACATTTTTCATTTTTTTGCAAATGTTGTTGAAAGCTACACATCCAAATTTAGTGCTCAAATACACATCAGCTTTCATATACTAATTACTATGATTCTTGAATAATCTACGTTTACAAATAACACTAACAGTGTCGAAGTCTGGAGAATAAATGCAGTCTAGCTGTAAATTAAAATAAAATTAAACATTAAATTTTCATACTTGAGTTAGTGATTACTTTTTTATTAACATTATGTCTAGACATATTATCAATACCATAAATTCTACCAATTTCAATAAGCTGATTGTAAGATGACAATGCGTTTTTACCTTCTCTTGCAATCACATCAGCATCGATAATGACAATGCCAAGGTCTCTAAGCTTGTTTGCCACGGTTGATTTTCCTGTGGCAATACCACCCGTCAAACCAATCAGAAGCATCTTAAAAACTGTAACTTAAGTAAGATTCAACTGTGAAATAGGTTTCAAATAGATGCAAGTCGATCACTAAGTGACAATAAAATATGCATCAAAGTAATAAAGTAGTCCAGTGATTTTTTTTTGTTACCTTATGATGTAACTAATAAAATTAAAAGAAATGTACGAAATACTTCATACGCTACAATTTACATACATCTTACCACCACAACAACAGCAAGAATGAATTTCGCGATTTATTTTATCCCTCTTTTGGCAATGTCTAAAACTAAAGGAAATTGATGTTATTAAACATTTAAAATTAATATTTAAAATGCACTTTCTTGACAGTTGGATTCGTTCGTACATTTAAGAAACATTGTTCAATCACAATAATAATAATAACATAAATGTCATTATTTAAGGATGAAATAAGGCCTAGCAGTTAACGTGCTAGATTGCGAATCAGAAGGATAATGACTCAAGCTGTGATATGCAGCTGAACTTATTCCTACTGTTACGTCTTTGGTCCTTTGTTAATTTCCCGTATAATTTCTTTCGGATGAAACTTTAGCGATAGAAGTCCTTTCTTAAATAAAACTAGTTTATTCTTTCTCAATACAACTTTGCAATACACTTAATTTCCACAGTCACTTTAACTTGAACATACGCTATAATTCATAACGATTCACGCACTTTACTTACGGTCACTACCGCGCTTGACTCAATTGTCCGTCTCTATCTCTGCCCGTTTGCAATTATCCATCCCGTCACTTCTT